TTTTTTGAGACAGTCTTGCTCTGTCACTCAGGCTGGAGTGCAATGGTGTGATCTCAGCTCACTGCAACCTCCGCCTCCTGGGTTCAAACAATTTTCCTGCCTCAGCCTCCCAAGTAGCTGGGATTACAGGTGCCTGCCACCATGCCTGCCTAATTTTTGTGTTTTTAGTGGGGTTTCACCAGGTTGGCCAACCTGGACTCGAACTCCTGACCACATGACCCACGCGCCTTGGCCTCCCAAAGTGTTGGGATTACAGGCGTGAGCCACCATGCCCGGCCTGCCCGAGCTAATTTTTATAGGCACTGGTTTATATGCGTCTAATGAGAAAAGACCCGGGGAATTTAAAAAAACCCAAGTCAGTGCACTTGCCTTTCAGGTTGCCCGCCTGGTCCTCTTCCAACTGTGCTTTCCCTTCTTCATTCCCGTCCTAAAGCTTTTTAAACTTTTGCTAGTGCTCTAAAACTTGCCTCCCTCTCTCCTGCCTTATGCCCCTCACTCAAATCCATTCTCAGGAGGAGGCAAGAACTGAGGCTGCTGTAGACTCGTACAGATACGGATTCATCATCAGTAGCAAGTTTTGGTGTTTTAGCACCTTCAGCTGCCAACCTATTTTGGTGCCGCATGACTTGGATACATTCGTTAGTGGTATGAGACCTCGATGCCTCACCTTCTTCAGCTGGAGGTGTTCAACCTCCATACGAGGTTTTCGGCCTTTCTCTCTCCTGCTTACTAACGAACCCTCGGCACAATTCTTCCTGGCCAGAAGTGACTCTGCTTCCCCAAGCTGATCTCTCAGTTCACACTAAAGGATGGCTTGCAGGGGTGGGAAGCACCTTGGGGCTGCACCAAGTAGAACTTAGGCTCACGAGAGTGGGAAAACCCTAAAACCATGAAATGTCTCAAGTTTCCTCTGCTTTTTCAACTAAACACAGCTCTTTCAAAAACAACAACAAAAGAAAACACAGGTCAGAGATCCTATTCATTGATCTAATAGGCCTTTGGCTATTTACTTTCTCTCCCCTATCTTTCTGATATGCTTAAATTCTATTTCCTTGGTGAAGTCACACCTGGCTACCCCAGCTCTGACTGACCTATCTTATCTCTGTCGCCCATTACACAAAGGCAGCCCCGCACAACCTGCAGAGCTCAGCTTGCTCTGGTATGTACTGACGGGCTGCATAGCACAGGTTAGAAATTAGGCTCTGGTGCCAGACACTGCAGGTTCAAATCTCAACACATCCATTTAACTAGTTATGTGACTTATTTCTGTGCTGTTTCCTCATCTGTAAAATGAGAAAAACTCCTACTTTATGGGGTTATACTGTGAAGGGCAAATGAGTAAAAACAGGGAGAACACTCTGAACATGGATGGATCTCTCCTGGTGATAAAAATAAATGCTAATCACTATTATTCTAATTGTTAACAGTGATTTTAATCTAGGCTTTGTACAAATTTCTGGGGACAGAAAGTCCAACAGGCCGGGCATGGTGGCTTATGCCTGTAATCCTAGCACTTTGGGATGCCAAGGCGGGTGGATCACTTGAGGTTAGGAGTTTGAGACCAGCCTGGCCAACATGATAAAACCCCGTCTCTATTAAAAATACAAAAATTAGGCCATGTGCAGTGGCTCACACCTGTAATCCCATCGCTTTGGGAGGCTGAGGCAAGTGGATCATTTGGGGTCAGGAGTTTGAGACCAATCTGACCAATATAGGGAAACTCTGTCTACTAAAAATATAAACAAATTAGCTGGGTATGGCAGGCGCTGAGGCGGGAGAATCACTGGAAGCAGGAGGCGGAGGCTGCAGTGAGCTGAGATCTTACCACTGCACTCCAGCCAGGGCAACAGAGTGACACTGCATTTCAAAAAATAAGTAAATAAATAAAGTCCATCAAAATTAAATGTCCCCAGCCACAAGAACTCATAAAGACACCCCCTTGCCCCCGCCAAAGCACTGTTTACACTGTAATACAGAGTGCTCGCCACATTCGTAGGAGCTGTATCACGAGGCTGGTCCCACCCAGAGAGAGGTCCTTTCAGCCAGCTGCCCATACCTGTTCTCATAGATATCCTGGATCTCATATACCTTCTGGTCAATGACATCGCTGGAGACTCGACTGGCCTGTAGCTCATACACTTTCTGGTCAATCAAATCCGAGACAGTTTTGTGGAAATACTGGATGAAGTTTTTGATCACCTCAGGGATCACCTGATAGGTTTGCTGTTCATACTGACGTTCATAAGCAAGGTCCTGCTTTGGATCTCCTGGAGGTTGGATATAACAAATACAGAGTGCTTTCAAAGCCACATATATGATGGAACGAAATGGCAAGACCACCTCAGAAACTAAACTCAGGTCTGTGTAAAATTCTCTTTTGAATACTGAGATATAAACATTTCAGTCACTGCCAATCTTGCTGTCCCTATTTCTTCAACACTATTACCATGATTTAAAAGTTATTTTTTATTTATTTTTTTGAGACAGAGTCTTGCTCTGTCGCCAGGCTGGATCACGGCTCATTGCAACCTCCGCCTCCTAGGTTCAGCAATTCTCCTGCCTCAGCCTCCCTAGTAGCTGGGACTACGGGGGCACACCACCACGCCCAGCTAATTTTTGTATTTTAGTGGAGATGTGGTTTCACTATGTTGGCCAGGATAGTCTAGAACTCTTGATCTCGTGATCCGACCGCCTTGGCCTCCCAAAGTGCTGGGATTACAGGCATGAGCCACCACACCTGGCCCTAAAGTTATTTTTTATTTTTGAGACAGAGTCTCACTCTGTTGGCTAGGCTGGAATATAGTGGCACAATTTTGGTTCATTGCAACCTTTGTCTCCTGGGCTCAAGCAATTCTCCTGCCTCAGACTCCTGAGTTGCTGGGATTACAGGTGTGTGCCATCACGCCCGGCAAATTTTTGTATTTTTAGTAGAGACAAGGTTTCACCATGTAGGCCAGGCTGGTCTTGAACCCCTGACCTAAAGTAATCCGCCCACCTTGCCTCCCAGCCTCCCAAAGTGCTGGCATTATAGATGTGAGACACCACATCAAGCCAAAGTTATTTTTTACTTATTATCTGTTTTGCCCCCTTTTCCCAAGTCTAGCAAGTCAGGAATCTTGTCTGTCCTGTACTCAGATGTACTCTCAGGGCGTAGAACAGTGTGCATTGGAGGAAAAAGAGGCAAAGAAGGGTAAGTGATAACAGGTACTTAAGTATTTCTTGAATGAGTAACTGTCACCTTCTAAATATATGACTTGTGGCAAGTTACTACTAAACCTTTCTGCTATATCTTCCCTTTTTTAGGAGACAACATTAACGTACATACTTTGTAGGACAGTTTTAAGGATTAAACAAAATATTTAACACAAAGTACTCAGAACAATGGATGACACCGAATACTAAGTTAAGTCACTATAACATTTCAGGAAACCTCAGACATCTCCCAAAAAGATTTTGTTCAGGCTTGCTTTGTAAATTTTTCACATTAAGATTTTTTTCTTTCAGCCAGGCTTGGTGGCTCACACCTGTAATCCCAGCACTCTGGGAGGCTGCGGCGGGAGGATCACCTGAGGTCAGGAGTTCGAGACTAGCCTGGACAACATGCCTAAACCCTGTCTCTACTAAAAAAAAAAAGTGAAAAAATTAGCCGGGCTTGATGACGTGCGCCTGTAGTGCCGGCAACTTAGGAGGCTGAGATAAGAGAATTGCCTGAACCCGGAGGAGAAGATTGCAATGAACCGAAATTGCACCACTGTACTCCAGCCCAGTCCACAGAGCAAGATTCCATCTCAAAAAAAATAAAAAAGCTTTTCGTCTTTGGCCAGCAGTTTACACAAGAAAACCAAGGCCAATAATCCTCCTCCTCCGAGACTGAGGTGGACCTATGATAAAAAGCCTGGTTTATTAGGCTTTATACAACCAACCCTCCCCACTGGGAGCTAATAACTGACTCCACACCTGGACCATCAAAGAGCAGTTCTTAACAGATGCCTGTCAAAGCTGGTTCTAAGACATTCAAAAAGGAGCTGATCCCTACGAGTACGAAACCAGCCTAACCCGCGGTCTCACCTGTGTGCATATCATAGTCGCCCGGATAAGCATAGGGATCATAAGCCGCCTAGAAGTAAAGAGACACAGTCAGAAACAGTCGCTAACTCGTGAATTCCAAACGCTCATCCTACAGTCTAGATGCCAACCAGAAAGCTAAGGAGACAAAGGCGGGTAAGACAGTGTGCCTGCCTCTGAGAAACTCACACGCCTAAGAGGAAAGCGACAATAAACGGACAATGACAATTACAACATTACGGGTGCAATGAGGTGGAGCAAAGGCCAAGAGGCTGTGGGAATCAGCGAGATTTGACCAGACCGAGCCAACACCAAAAAAACTCAGGTGCAGAAACACAAAAACATCTAACAAGCTTCCGTCTCTCCCGGTCTTAGAAAGCGGAAGGATCAGCGAACACGCGAGGTGGGCGGGCAGAGCCAGGGTTGTCTAGGGGCAGGGAGCTGTGGGAGCAGCAGGAGGGTCGCGCGGGAGGTGGGCCGGAGCTGGCCGCGGCTCAGAAGCTGCCTCGCGCCGGGACCCACATCAAGAGGTCCTACAGATCTCCCCGTCGTGGACCCCATCGCGCGCTTACAGCCACCTCACCTCGGATTCGTAATCATCAGCGGCATAAGACATGGCTGCCGGGCTCACGAGCACTGCCGGAAAGAACGAAATGAGCAACCCACGCCTGCGTCTTGAGGCCGGAAGTTCAGCCCCTCTCGGGCCTGCCGGGAAACCGGAAGCCTTTCAGAGGCCGCTGGCAATCTGAGAGAGCGACATCGAGAATGAAGGGGAGCCGGGTGCGGTGGCTCACACCTGTAATCCCAGCACTCTGGAAGCGGAAGCGGGCGGATCACTTGTAGTCAGGAGTTCGAGACCAGCCTGACCAACGTGGCGAAATCCTGTCTCTACTAAAAATACAAAATTAGGTGGCGCATGCCTGTAATCCCAGCTACTCGGGAGGCTGCGGCAGGAGAATCGCTTGAACCCGGGAGGCGGAGGTTGCAGTAGGCCAAGATCGCGCCATTTCACTCCAGCCTGGCCAACAAAAGCGAAAACTCGTCTTAAAAAAAAGAGGATTACAAGTAGCCTGAATTTTCCTCTTCTTCAAATAGAGACTTCTCAAAGAAGGTGAATCTATAATACTGGTGTAGATACAGATATAAGGACCCGAAGTGGTTCTTCATAAAGGCGGGGCAAAGTCAGAGGGCCCAGAAAGAATGCCACACAAAAGATGGCTGACAGCTTCCCGGGGCCGGCTTCTCAGGTGAATGGAGATTCGGATACGGGGGCCTGATGGATTTAGTTGTTTAAGCGTTTGCCTGCAGCGAGTAAATTCTTCAAACATTACGACTTCACAAGACTAAATGTACTGGGGATAAAAGCCGAGATTTGGCCGGGCGCGGTGGCTCACGCCTGTAATCCCTGCACTTTGGGAGGCCGAGGCGGGCGGATCATATGAGGTCAGGAGTTCGAGACCAGTCTGGCCAATACGGCGAAACCCTGTCTCTACTAAGAATACAAAAATTAGCTAGGAGTGATGGCGTGCGTCTGTAATTTCAGCAACCCAGGAGGCTGAAGCAGGAGAATCGCTGGAACCCCAGGAGGCAGAGGTTGCAATGCGCTGAGATCGTGCCACTGCACTGCAGCTTGGGCGACAGAGCAAGACTCCATCCCCGCCCCCCCCGTCCCCCTGCCCCCCAAAATGTTGAGATTTGGTCCTATGTAATAGGGAATGGATAAGAGGAGCTCCCCTTCCCAAATTTGGACTTTAAGGTTGTAGCGGGCAAAGATGAGGCCAGCTGTGTCGTGAAGCCTGGGACACGGGCAGCTCTTGAGTACACCGGGTTCGAGTCCCCGGGAAATCCTTATGGTAGAAATGGGCGTTATAAAACAAGCCAATTAAAGCCAGTGTATGAGTCAATGGCTTTAGTTTAGCCATCTGTCCATACACAACATCTAATGGAAATCCGAGTTCCAGTCCCTACTCCGCCACTGATTTGCTGTGTGACCAGGTCAAACATGTCTCATGCTCTCTGGGTCCCTTTGTCACAAAGCCCTCCTCGCTTTTTCCACTGAGGCACTGCAACCTCTGCCTCCCGGGTTCAAGCGATACTCCTGTCTTAGCTTCGTGAGTAGCTGGGATTACAGGCACATGCCACCACACCCAGCTAATTTTTGTATTTTTAGTAGAGTTGGGGTTTCACCATGTTGGTCAGGCTGGTCTCGAACTCCTGACCTCGTGATCTGCCCGCCTCGGCCTCCCAAAGTGCTGGGATTACAGGTGTGAGCCACCACGCCTACCTACATTAGGGATTTTGCACTCACTGTTACCCGAGTGTAGAATTGAATGCAGTGGCGCCCCCATTCCAATTCCCTTCCTTATCGGACATCTGCATGGCACCTTCAGGTGTTTATTCAACATCCTATTTAGATGTCATCACTCAACATCCTATTTAGAATTGCAATGCTCTGCCGCAACTCCCTATGCTGCGTTCTTCCTTCGTGTTTTATCCTTGCGCTGTCACCAGAGGTGATACAAATTTAGAATTAATCTTTGCCCCGCCAAAAGCTTACATTTTAACTGGATTGAATGGGAGGGTTTATACATGGAAGGAACTTTTGCCTGAACACAAGACCTAGTCCCATGAGAGCTGGGCAACTGTCAACGAGTCTCTCATCTCTGCTTCCAACTCCTCATCTATAAAATAGGGATGGTCCTTCTTGCCTACTTTATAGAAGTATTTGTAGGATGCAGGATTATGAAAAGTTTGACAAAAAGGTGCACCCATGAAACGTTGCTTGAGGAACACTTATTTCCTGGTCTTCTCCCATCGGACTGCGAGCATCTCAGGGGCACCAAGTCTGATCCTGTGTCCAGGACCTGGCAGTCACCTGGCTCAGTGACTGGTTGTCGAACTAAACTCTTGCTCTAATGTAATCACTTTGAATTATAAGTCTTTGTAAATCAGTGATCTACGTTGGGTTACCTAGAGAACTTTGACTAAGGGAAATCCATTGCATTTTGAAGCTATTTCTCACTATAGTGATATCTCCAAATTTGAACACATTTTCCTTTTTCCAGGTACATTATGCATTTGTAGGAGGTTGATTTTTTTTTTTTTTTTTGCGTTAATTTTTTTACATCTGTATCTATCTGCATGGATAGCGTGCCTGCAAATCATCTTAATCTGATTGGCTAAATCATCTACTCCTTTCTTTTTCTTTTTCTTTTTTTTTTTGTTCTTTCATTAGACCGGTAAATGGAGAGAGAGAAAAAAAAAAAAAGAGGCCTGGCGCGGTGGCTCACGCCTGTAATCTCAGCATTTTGGGAGGCCGAGGGGGGCGGATCACGAGGTCAACAGATCCAGACCATCCTGGCCAACATGGTAAAACCCCCCTCTCTACTGAAAACGCAAAAATTAGCTGGGCGTGGTGGCTCGCGCCTGTAGTCCCAGCTACTCGGGAAGCTGAGACAGGAGAATTGCTTGAGTCCGGAAGGAGGAGATTGCAGTGAGGCGAGATCGCGCCACTGCACTCCAGGCGACAGAGCGAGACTCTGTCAAAAAAAAAGGGGGGGGGGGCTTGAAACGCTGCTATTTTATTGGCTCCGTTAGCGACGTACGGCGAGAGCCCTGGGCACTTCAAGTTTTTGATTGGTTGTAACGTCTGCCAGCCACGTTGCCGGAAGCCCTGTCGCTATATTTGCTTCTACTGTGCCCTCCCTTTCCGATTGGTTTTGGGAGGGGTTTAAGCTGGAAGGGTCGTCATTGGTCCAGCCGTTCAGGCTCGGCCTGAGCCCGCCCCGCTCGGATGCCGAGGTTGCAGGCCTGGCCCGTCAGGCCCGCCCGCCCGCCTGCTGGCTGACAGCGCGACTCAGGGCGGAGGGAAGTAGGTCCGTTGGTCGGTCGGGAGCCGGCGGCCAGGCCCGCACGGAGCCGTTGCCATGGCAGCCGCCGCTGGGGACGCGGACGACGAGCCACGCTCGGGCCACTCGAGCTCAGAGGGCGAGTGCGCGGTGGCGCCGGAGCCGCTGACGGGCGCTGAGGGCCTCTTCTCCTTCGCCGACTTCGGGTCTGCGCTGGGCGGCGGCGCGGGCCTCTCGGGCCGGGCGTCCGGCGGGGCCCAGTCGCCGCTGCGCTACCTGCACGTCCTGTGGCAGCAGGATGCGGAGCCGCGCGACGAGCTGCGCTGCAAGATCCCCGCCGGCCGGCTGAGGCGCGCCGCCAGGCCCCACCGCCGGCTGGGGCCCACCGGCAAGGAGGCCCACGGTGAGCGGTGCGAGCTGGGCGCGGGGCGGGGCAGCCCGGGCGCGGGGCGGGGCAGCCCGGGCGCGGGGCGGGGCAGCCCGGGCGCGGGGCGGGCCTCGGAGGACCGCGGGCCGCACTGTGGTCGCCCCCGACCCACAGCGACGGGCCCCCGAGGTATGCACTGAGGGCCACACTGACTCTTGAGTCTGACCCTTGAGTCTCCTTTCAGTAATGATGGTCAGGATGGTTTTTTTAAAAAGTCTTCCTGCTCTGAGCCAGTCACCGCAGACTTCTCTCACTGGGTAATTTGTGAATGGAAACTTTCCATGACTCCGACCGCTTATAGGTAGATAATAAAATGAGGCACCTGGGGAACACTTTTATTATCAGGGAAAGGGGAGGCGGAGTCGTACCAGGTTGTTTCAATGCACGGTCTTAGATTGGACTCCTTTACCACATTTAGACCTTAGGCAAATGATAGCCCCTTTCTTTTTTTCCTTTTTTTCTTTTTCTTTTTTTTTTTTTTTTTTTTTTTTTTTTTTTTTTTTTTTTTTT